ATGCTCCTCTTCTGAGATAAAATGGCACATACATGTACATGTGTATATGTATATATATGTGTGTGTACATATATGCACATATATACACATTTATATTTGAACATATTCGTATCAGATTAGATAATTTCCTTTAATCTTGTTTAATAAATAGACTGACAGGACCAATAGATGTTTGTAATTTGAGATGGGGCTTTGCTTTTAAAGACAAAGAAAATATTAAAGCTTACAAAATTTCAGGATATAGTATTTTAGTGATGTATTTATAAAAGTCATCACTTGTCTGTCATTTTGTCTTACTGTGGTGGCTTGTGTGTTGCTGTGATGCTGGAAGCTATGCCACTGGTATCTCAAATAGCAGCAGGATCACCTATGGTGGACAGGTTTCAGTGGAGCTTACAGAATAAGACAGACTAGGGAAGAAGGACCTGGCAATCTACTTCTGAAAAAACTTCCCAGTGAAAACCTTACGGATAGCAGTGGAACACTGTCTCTGACATAGTGCTGGAAGATGAGCCCCTCAGGTTGGAAGGTACTCAAAATACGACCGGGAAAGAACTGCCTCCTCAAAGTAGTCGACCTTAATGACATGGATGGAGTGTTCAGGACCTTCATTTGCTGATGCGGCACAACTCAAAATGAGAAGAAACAGCTGCAGACATCCAATAATAATTGAAATGTGGAATGTAGGAAGTATGATCCCAGGAAAATTGGAAGTTGTCAAAAATGAAATGGAACACTTAAAGATATATATCCTAGGTATTAGTGAGCTTAAATGGACTGGTACTGGCCATTTTGAATCAGACAAACATATGGTCTACTATGCTGGGAATGACAAATTGAAGAGGAACGGCGTCACATTCATTGTCAAGGAGAACATTTCAAGATCTATCCTGAAATACAACGCTGTCAGTGATAGGATAATATCCATATGTTTACAAGGAAGACCAGTTAATATGACTCTTATTCAAATTTATGTATCAACCCCTAATGCAAAAGATGAAGAAATTGAAGATGTTCATCAACTTCTGCAGTCTGAAATTGATCAAACATGCAATCAAGATGCATTGATAATTACTGCTGAATGGAATGTGAAAACTGGAAACAAAGAATCAGTAGTTGGAAAAATGGCCTTGGTGACAGAAGCTATGCCAGAGATCACATGATAGAGTTTTCAAGACCAATGACCTATTCATTGGAAAACCTTTTTTCAACAACATAAACAGTGATTATACACCAGGACTTCACCAGATGGAATACACAGGAATCAAATTGACTACATTTGTGGAAATAGATGGAGAAGCTCAATATCATCAGTCAGAACAAGGGAGCCAACTGCAGAACAGACCATCGATTGCTCACATGGAAGTTCAAGCTGAAATGAAGCTGAAGAAAATTAGAGAAAGTCCACAAGAGCCAAAGTACGACCTTGAGTATATTCCACCTGAATTTAGAGATCATTTCAAGAATGGATTTGAGGCACTGAACACTAATGACTGAAGACCAGACGAGTTGTGCGATAACATCAAGGACATCATACACGAAGAAAGCAAGAGGTCATTAAAAAGACAGGGAAGAAAGAAAAGACCAAAATGGATGTCAGAAGAGGCTCTGAAATTTGCTCTTGAATGTCAAGTAGCTAAAGCAAACAGAAGAAATGATGAAGTAAAAGAGCTGAACAGAAGATTTCAAAGGGCGGCTCAAGAAGATAAAGTATTATAATGAAATGTGCAAACACCTGGAATTAGAAAACCAAAGGGGAAGAACACGCTTCGCATTTCTCAAGCTGAAAGAACTGAAGAAAAAATTCAAGCCTTGAGTTGCAATACTGAAGAATTCTATGGGCAAAATATTGAACAACACAGGAAGCATCAAAAGCAGATGAAGTAATACACAGAGTCACTGTACCAAAAAGAATTGGTCAACACTCAACCATTTCAGGAGGTAGCATACGATCAAGAACCGATGGTATTGAAGGAAGAAGTCCAAGCTGCTCTGAAGGCATTGGCAAAACACAAGGCTCCAGGAATTGATGGAATACTAATTGACATGTTTCAACAAACAATGCAATGCTAGAGTGCTCACTTTGGAAGACCCCTACCTGGCCAACTGACTGGAAGAGATCCATATTTGTGCCCATTCCAAAGAAAGGTGATCCAACAGAATGCGGGAGTTATCAAACAATATCACATGCAAGTAAAATTTTGCTGAAGATCATTCAAAAATAGCTGCAGCAGTACATTTACAGGGAACTGCTTGCAATTCAAGCAGGATTCAGAAGAGGATGTGGATGGAATGAGGGATATCATTGCTGATGTCAGATGGATCCTGGCTGAAAGCAGAGAATACCAGAAATATGTTTACCTGTGTTTTATTGGCTATGCAAAGGCATTCATCTGTGTGGATCATAACAAATTATGGATAACACTGCAAAGAATGGGAATTTCAGAACACTTAATTGTGCTCATGAGGAACTTGTACATAGACCAAGAGGCAGTCGCTCGAACAGAACAAGAGGATACTGCATGGTTTAAAATCAGGAAAGGTGTGCATCAGGGTTGTATCCTTTCACCATACTTATTCAATCTGTATGCTGAGCAAATAATCCAAGAAGCTGCACTATATGCAGAAGAACTGGACATCAGGATTGTAGGAAGACTAATTAACAACCTGTGATATGCAGATGACACGACCTTGCTTGCTGAAAGTGAAGAGGACTTGAAGCACTTACTGATGAAGATCAAAGATTACAGCCTTCAGTACGGACTACACGTCAACATAAAGAAAACAAAATCCTTACAACTGCACCAATAAGCAACATCATGAAAAATGGAGAAAATACTGAAGTTGTCAAGGATTTCATTTTACTTGGATCCACAACCAATGCCCATGGAAGCAGCAGTCATGAAATCAAATGATGTATTGCATTTGGGCAAATCTGCTGCAAAAGACGTCTTTAAAGTGTTCAAAAACAAAGATGTCACTTTAAGGACTAAGGTGCACCTGACCCAAGCCATGGAATTTCAATCACCTCACATGCATGCAAAAGCTGGACAATTAATAAGGAAGACTGAAGAAGAATTGATGAATTTGAATTATAGTATTGGTGAAGAATACTGAATATACTATGGACTGCCAGAAGAACGAACAAATCTGTCTTGGAAGAAGTACAGCCATAATGCTCCTTAGAAGGGAGGATGGCCAGACTTCGTCTCACGTACTTTGGACATGTTATCAGGAGGGACCAGTCCCTGGAGAAGGATATTATGCTTGGTAAAGTAGATGGTCATCGAAAAAGAGGAAGACCCTCAATGAGATAGATTGACACAGTGGCTGCAACAATGGGCTCAAACATGGCAATGACTGTGAGGATGGCGCAGGACCAGGCAGTGTTTCGTTCTGTTGTACACAGTGTCGCTATGTGTTGGAACCAACTCGATGGCACCTAACAACAATTCATAATAGAATTCTTTTATTAGTTTGAAGTAGTGTGAATTCCCAGAAGGCAATTAAAAAAAAAGAAATCCAAACCTACTGCTGTCGAGTCGACTCCAACTCATAGTGACCCCATACAGTTTCCAAGACCGTAAATCTCTACGGAAGCAGACTTCCACTTCTTTCTCCCGAAGAGCCGTTGCTGCTTTCAAACCACTGACCTACTGTTAGCAGTCAAGCGCTTTACCAATTCGACACCAAGACATAAAATGCAAATACGTCCTAAAGTAAAAATGGGTTAAGTCTACCCAGTATTTTAGAGTATCCATATTATTTGTTCCTAGTTCTTTGGGTGGCGCAAATGGTTTTTACTGGGCTACTAACTGAAAAGTTGGCAGTTCTAATTAGTTTGAATCCATTCAGTGGCTCCTCGGAAGAAAGACCTCATGATCTACTTCTTAAGAGTAAAGTCACTGAAAACGCTAAGGAATGCAATTCTCCTCTGACACACGAGGTCACCATGAGTCAGAATCAACTCCACGACAACAGGTTTTTTTTTTTATTTAACTACTTTAGATAATGGACACATTGTATCTCGAAATTTCAAAAATATTAATATGTTCCTGGACTGGACATCTGTAGTTTTACAATTTCCTTAATTTTAGGATTTAGAACCAGCGTACCGAAAGGTCCAGTGGCCCTACTGCCCACCTCTAGCTATGGGAAGGGAAGAGGGAAACCTTGAATAGGGGACCTAATTTGCATGTAAGAAACACCAGGAAGCTTTAAAAAAAAAAAAAAAAACCACACCCAGGACCCAGCCCCCAGATTCTGATTTGTCTAGGCACTGTATTTTTAAAAGCCCGACAAGTGCTTCTAATGCATAGCCAGGGTTGAGAATCACTGGTCTAGGCAGAAATGTTGTTCTATTTTTCTCCCTTATGGGCTGAATTAAAAAAAGGTTACTTTTTAATTAAGGAATTAAGTAGGCACAAACAGTTAAGTACTCAGCTACTAACCCAAAGGTTGCTGATTCAAATCAACCCAGAGGCACCTCAGAAGAAAGGCCTGGTGATCTACTTCCAAAAGATTATGAAAATAATCCCCAAACCCACTGCCATCAAGTTGATTCTGACTCATAGCGACACTATAGGACAGAATAGAACTGCCCCCAAAAGGTTTCCAAGGCTGTAAATCTTTACAGAAGCAGATTGCCACATCTTTCTCCTGCAGAGGCTGGTGGATTTGAACCACCAACCTTTTCGTTAGCAGGCAAGCACTTAATCACTGCACCACCAGGGCTCTTTCCAAAAGATTACAGCCATTGAAAACCTACTCTGAAACACAGGAGGTCACCATGAGTTGGAACTGACTCAGTGGCAACTTTTTTTTTTTTTTATATTAGGTAATAACAAGGAATTAGAAGATATCCCAATGGGAAAAATTAAGAAACTATATAATGGAATTGGGCATATAAAAATCTGAAAGAATGAAGCAGATAAAGTATAATATATCCTTAGATGTCCTTCTCAAGCTGTTTTCAAATGATCAAATCAAGCCAAATGATGCATGGTCACTGGTTTCCTATCATCTAAAGGTGATAAAGTATCCACTGGCACATAGCTTTCGCTGGTGTGAAAAAATGAAAAGGGGATGGGGAGAAGTGTTTATCATGCCATTTAAGTAAGTACCAAAAAAACCCAAACCAGATGCAGTCAAGATGATTTAAGTAACTACATTTCGAAATATTTTGCCTTTAAAAATTGAGTTCCTTGGCTTCTCTTGCTATGTGTGGTTTATTGCTTATTAACATCAAAATATTTTACTTTTTGTTGGCATTAATAAAAGATCCGTAGAGAGAAGGTTCATTTTTCTGGCCTATTCATGGATCTATTAGCATGAATAGTGAGAAACGCCTGTATCAAAACAAAATATTAATTATACTTCACAATACACAAAACAGCTGGCAAAACAGTACCATTTCTGTGATACCCTGAATTTTATGATTAACACTCTTGTATTCGTATTCCTTACATAACATTTATTTTGTATAGGATTTATCCACACACAATGATGTCAGCTTTAAAACAATTTACTGTTATTTGTATAAAGTCATCTCATAAAATACAGTGATACACAATACACCTCTGTGAATTAAGCAAGTATCCTAGGATTCAAAAATCTGCTTGTCTAATTCCTATTTTTGCTATTGTTTCAATGGGTTATCTTAAGTAGGATGCTTTACTGTTAAGTGCCTCAAATTTTTTGGCCTTTCATGTGGGAACTGTCCTATTTCATAGATATGCAAAGAATAACTGGCAAAAATTATTAAACACTTCGCAAATATAAAATGCTACATACAGTAAAGCCTGTGAAAGCCAGAACCTGTGTAAGGCAGAAACCTATCAGAGAAGGAAAACTTTTTTCCACTAAAACAAGTGATAGAAAAGTGGTAAGACTGCACCCTGTCAAAGGCGGAAAACTTGGGAGACCTGGAAAAACAAGGCGGTCCCATTGAGTTCCGGCTCTCACAGGCTTCACGGTAAATGATAAATAGTAACACTGATCCATTCTAATATAAAATAACACAGAACTTTCTGTTTTAGGTTCTCCTGTACCTATTATTATTACCTTTCCCAGTTAAATGTAACATCGTCTTAGGCTGTACCGTTTTCAGTGATTTTTCCATACTATTAATTTTTAGGCTAAAAAAAAATTTCAAAAAAACAATAGGAGTGGAGATTTCCATTTATCTTACCATGACCTGGCAAAACAACTTTAATGAACTGAGTACTCAGCTCATAAATAACTGAAACATCAATTTTTTTTTTTTATCCATTAAGCAGTAACTTGGTCACATGAAGGTGGTAACCATGTTTGTTTTGATTCCATTACTGAAAATATTGAAAAATTCTGTTTTTGAAAAGTCTTACGATCTGACAACTATATTCAGAAGGAACCGTGTAGTAAGGATGCAATTTGCTAGTCTAAAAGAGATCCTATGGTTACCTGCTTACAAGGACAGTGGGTTGTAGGTTGATGATGTGAGATGGTAACGCTCAAAGGGAATTCAAGAATTTCTACTTCAGTGGTATTGAATACTGTGCTCCTGAGCGCTGTAGAGGTATCTGGGGAAAGGTTCATGGGGTGGGGGATGAAGAGGTTTTTAACCAAAGCAACTCTGATATTAAGAGTTTATCCCTTAAATGTTGAGCTTCTCTGTGAAACAATTCATTTGAAGGAAGGGTAAAAAAATTATTTTAAACCACTGATTTTGCTTTCTCCAGATACTAGACATGGCCACAGTGGTACTTCATTTTTGCAAAACCTCCACCCCATCAACCAGACACACTTGAGGACAACAGAGTTGGATAGGCATTCCTGTCAGAGTGAACTCTGGTCTAACCAACTCCCATTATTCTTCTGATTAAAAAAATACTCCCTGGCATAAATAAAGCTTATTTAAACAAATTATACCCCTACGTAACATTTTCACACATTTAAAAGCCAAACAATTCTGTTTTCTCAGAAACCATTAATAGACAGTTTCACTCTAGAAAAGAATTGGTTAAAGTCTTACATATATATGATATGATGATTGGAGTTATTATTTACAACTTACAAACATGTCATAGATGTTTCCCCTTTATGATAGTAAAATGATAGAATAGATGTGCTGACTAGTTTGGTGAAACTGATAGTTGTTTTGTGGAGATTGCTTGGTGTTGTTATAAACAATTAGGGGAAAGCATTATTTCTGAAAAGGCAACTCTACAAGTGCTGTGTTCAATGGGCTTTGCTGACATTCATGCTCATGTATGTAAAGTTTGCATGCAGAAGATAATAGCATAAAAGAACATTTAGATCATAGACTAAAGTGTGTTAGAGTATACACATGCAAGCACTACTTTATTTCTATGAATAAAGCTCCAATCAGCCATTTTTCCTCCTGGCCCCATCACTAAAAACCAGGTTACAATTTTGAAAGGTGTAGCATCACTCTGGTCCCTTTCCTCATTTGGATACAGCTTCAATGTTAAGAATCCTGATTCAGGAGCGGCTATGTTGGGAGAACAATGAACTCAACACACACCATCAGGTCTAGAAGCAACAGAAACTTCGCCTTCAGGGGAATCTTGAAAAAGTCTCAGCATTAAATACCATAAAACAAATTGGTTATTCATCTATTTATAAAAAATTTTTTGAAACTAACCATTTTAGCCCACAAGTTGGTATCAAGGACAATTATTATTTAAAGAATAAGAGAAAATAACATTAAAAAGTACCATCTTGAGGTATATCATGGCATTTAAAAATACAGTATAATACATGGAGCCGCTATCAAAATTAAACTATATAAAGCTTAATTGTGATAACCTGCAGTAACCTTTATGGAGTTCAGTTCTTTAGTTCTGGTATTTAGGCCTTATCTTTAGAGCGACAATAATGTTTTTGCAATTCAGTTGGAACTTTGGAATGTTTGGTAATTCATACAGGGGAGGGGTTTAAAACTTAACTTTGTATCCTAGAAGGAAAGTTCGTTTTGAAATATTATATAAACAAGATAAGCAAAAATGCTTAAAGTACATAAGAGAGTAACTTGTTCAAGCAGTTTTATAGTATTTTAAATTTACATATAAATAATGACATAAAAACATCAATAGGTACTGTAGGAACATCACTTAGCACTATTTGAATAACTAGTTTAAGATATATGTATTTTTAAGATGATTAAATTCCTCTTCTTTCAAACTTTCTAATTCTGATTGGCTTACTTTTATAATTAGTGTAGATTGCCGAGGCTTAACTTTAATTCTCAGCCATTTCAGGAGACATACAGGGAGAGCTGAAAGAGGCCTGTGTTTAAAATCATAGTCTGTCTAATCACCAGCCCACCACTTAAACTTTCTGACCTTCATTTCTTCATCTGTAAATCAGAGATAATAATATCTACCTCGCTGATTACGTGAGAAAATGTGTATGACAGCACTTTATAAAGAATATAGCACTATATAGATGTTAGAAATTATTCTTAAGAACCTCCTGGTTTTTTTTTTCTTTCTTTTTCCTTTCTTTCTTTACGAGAAGAAGAGAACTATGTTGACAGGTCTTCACATACTACCTTGACTTTTAGGCAGTATGACCTTCCCTCTTTAAGAAAATGAAGTCTGTACACAATCTTGGGTCAGTCCCACTGTAGGTTTTTTGTTTGTTTGTTTGTAACAGTACTGACTACATAAATGAAAAAATTTTCAAATATGAGCGATTTTAAATATTTTCTATTAGTTTTCCGCCATACTTCTAAAACACTTAGGATACTGGAATAGGTTGTTTCAGATCTGAAATTAATATAAAGATTAGTTCAGTCAGGTAGGGCGCCAGACCCTTAAATGTGCTCTTATCTGACTGCCTATAAAAATTCGATATTGGTAGTTAATGTATTTTTGAAGCACCTTGAACTTGTCTTATATAAAGTTTGGTTGTGGTAAATTTATTTAAAATATTTTCTTTGAAACAAATTCAATAATTAGATCTCCCACTATTAGGAGAAAAAAAAAGTATCTCTGTAATAAAAGTAAGAGGATTAATTGTTCATCCATCATGCCAACTCAAGCTAGGACTTTCTTTCCAGTGCAGCAACATATTTTAGGGCAACAAAGTTCAGAATGGACATAATGGCCTGTTCAGAAAAGCATGCAAGTTATGTCAGGTCACTTCTTTTAAGTCGGTGTAATAAATTGGTTAACCAGACTCTGACCATGGAAAGAGAGAGATATAGGAAGTCAATGTAAATCGCAGACATGCCAGCTCTGTTGGTTCTTGTTACAGCTACCTAATGTTGGGCTTTATTTCCTTTTCTTCTTCGTCACTGTCATCGACCTGCTGTATGACCAGATCAGCAGACCCATCCTCTACAATCTCCACATAGGATCTATTCTCATCTTCACTCAAGTGCCATCTGGAATCCTTATCTCCTTCTGAGGGGGACATAAGATGTTGTTCTTCCAAATCGATGGGGAGGCTGTCTATGCCAACTTCAGCAAGGCACTCATTACAGAGTCTGTAGCGTCTGGTTCCTTCCTGTACCACTTGCCCTGTCAGATCAGTCACGTGGCGTTTGCATTTTCTGCAGATTAGTTTGCATGCTTGGTGAATCTGTGTAGAGATTTAAATAGGGATAAAAAACGATTTTTCAAAAGCAGGACAGTTGGATATTTTAGGTTCATAAACTTAAAATGTTGAAGGTATTGAAATGTTCAAGGCTAGATATTAAATGTAAATGAACATCTAGTTATTAGAAAAGATCAGAGGTTTTGGTGATGAGTTGACATCACAGAAACATTAAACATCAGCTTTCATATACGCACAGAAAAAGTTCTAGAAGAATGATGGTGTTAAGAATGGTAATATCTGGTTGGTAAAAATGTCTTATTTTTATTTTCTTGTTTTTACTTTGATCTATTTTTGCAATGTACATATTGTACATATTGCTTTTGTAATAATAAAAAGTTGTTTTTAATTGAAAAAAAAATCTAGCTTCATGAAGGTACAGATTTTGTTTTGCTCACTGCTGTATACCTAGCACTTAGAACAGGTTCTTGCACACAGTAGGTGTTCAGTATATATTTGTTGAATAAGTGACTATAAAGCAATGCATGAAGAAATCACCTTAAGGACCCTTTAGGTTTTTCCATTCTCCTTTAAAATTAAAAAAGAGCTCTTATAAATGGAATAGAAGTACCAGGTATAGAACACAGATTTTGGAAAAAAATTCTTGCTGTAGGATGAACAGCAGAAAAATTCCAAAGTCACTGCCTCATTAAACCATTCCCTGATATTTTCCCTGAAAATTTTCTGACTGCTGACCATCAAGTCCCTGACTGGGAGAGGCTCTACTGCCCACTTTGTTCCCTTTCTTAATGAGACTAGAGACCAACTAGCGAGAGACCGGAAGGGAGTGTTGGGGAGAGAGGCTGGACAGCAGCAACTAGACTGAGATCCTACCAGGTAGGGAGTCAAGAACCACTGGTATATGCTGAGTATCTGAAGTGGTGATTCTGACATAGACATTAAAACATTTAAATTGGTCCCAACCCACCTGGAGCATAGGATAATGAAGAACACCAAAGACACAAGGAAAATATTAGTCCAAGAGAAAGAAGGGGCCACATAAACCAGAGACTCCATCAGCCTGAGACCAGAAGAACTAGATGGTGCCCAGCTACCACCAATGACCACCCTGACAGGGAACACAACAGAAAGTCCCTGATGGAGCAGGAGAAAAGTGGGGTGCAGAGCTCAAATTCATGTAAAAAGACCAGACTTAATGGTCTGACTGAGACTGGAGGGACCTCAGAAGACATGGTCCCCGGACTCTCTGTTAGCCCGAAACTAAAACCATTCCCGAGGCCAACTCTTCAGACAAAGATTAGACTGGACTATGGGACATAAAATGATACCTGTGAAGAGTGTGCTTCTTAGCTCAAGCAGATACGTGAGACTAAATGGGCAGCTCCTGTCCAGAGGTGAGATGAGAAGGCAGAGAGGGACAGGAGCTGGTTGAATGGACACGGGAAATCAGGGGTGGAAAGGAGGAGTGTGTTGTCAAATTATAGGGAGAGCAACTAGAGTCACATAACAATATGTGTATAAATTTTTGTATGAGAAATTAACTTGAGCTGTAAACTTTCACCTAAAGCACGATAAAAAAGTTTAAAAAAACATTTACACAGCTTACATTGTCTTTGGCTCTGCCAAGACAAGCATATAAAAACAGATTTTAAGTGAATTGAAACGGAAATATAAAACTATTTAGCAGCAAAAGAAAATTCCCTACTTCAAGGTCTCAAAGGAGAATAATTTATATATATACATATATATAAATATATATTGTCCCCATATTATGTATTATGCACCAAGTGAAAACATTAAGTTGGAAAATTTTCTAATATAGTAGTTACGTGAAAAACTTTCCCTCATAAGTTGGATTATCCTAAAGCAGATAAATGCACACATTTCTTAAGAAGTAAAATGATGGAAAATCATATATATACCGTTCGAAAATGGCTGCTGAGATGGTCTAGCCTGCTGAATCTTTTCCCACAAGCTTGACATGGATAGGGTCTTTCTCCTGTGTGACAACGAAGGTGGCGCTTTAGGTCGGCTTTCCGCTTCACCACGTGGGTACAGTATGGGCACTTGAATCGCATCCTGGGCAGATCATCTGTCATGAGACAGTTTCATTAAATCACTGGAAAGTTCATAAAACAATTCCAATAATATAAAGAAATCCAAAAAGAGTTGGTGAGTCCAATGTCACCAAGGGTGGGAGAAAAGGAGATGAAGGAATATTAAGACTAGATGGTCAATGTCATCCTAAATATATATGTTGTAACTTCAGTATTTTACAGATTTACCAAGTCTGGATAAAATTAATAGATTGCCACCCTTATGATTTTATTTAATGTTGTAGATCCACTAGGTTTTAAATATAAAAAGGTAGTGCTTGATTTTAAAAGTAGATATAATCTAAAAGAAGTGATTCATTTCAGTATTTAATATTTAAGCTGTACCCAAAGCTTTTAAGTAATTTGTTTTATTTACATGTTTTTTACCCCCTTGCCTTTACTTTAGGTAAACTTGTAACTTTTTTTCATTCCATTTATTTATCTACTTTTTAATTAAAATATTTTATTATGTTTTTGATGAAAGTTTACACAGCAAATTACATTCCCATTTAATAATTTCTGTACAGTTTGTTCAGTGACATTGGTTACATTTTTCACAAAGCATCAACTTTTTCATTATTTCCTTTCTGGTTGTTTCGTTTCTAGTAATCTAGTTTCCCTGCCCCTTGCCTTCTCTCCTTTGCTTTTGAGTAAATGTTGACAGTTTGGTTTCATACAACACAGTACTCACAGATGATATTGTTTATTTTATGAGCTAATTTGTTATTTAGCTAAAAGATGACCCCATAGAATAGTTTTGGTTCAACGTTTAAAGAGAATCTCAGGATGATAGCTCAGGGAGTCCTCCAGTCTCAACCGGTCCAGTATGTCCGGACTTTTTTAAAAATTTGAGTTCTGTTCCACAGTAACTTTTTTATTTTAAGGTGAAAAAAAAGGTCAGGGATCTTTAATTTTTTTGTTTTAAATCTCATATATTCAAAATGTTTTTTAAAAAAATTTTATTGTGGTGAAAATATGTATAACCAAACATATGTCATCTCAACAATTTCTACATAAAATGTTAATTTCACAGTTGTAAAACAGCATCTACATTATTAAGGTTAGATTTAAATAACCTAGAATAATAAAAGTACAGAGCTCAAAGGAAGAAAGATAACTTTTTTGTGTTTTAAAATTCAACAAAGACACTAAAAAAGAAAAAAATAATAAAATGCAATAAAGATTTTCCATTTTTGCTCTGTTGTTTTTATATGCCTTGGTCAGTGGTTAGAGCCTGATAGGACTTCCTGTAAGTTCTAAAATATGATATAATTTCCTATATTTTCAAATTAATATCCCACTGGAAAATGTGATTAGTAAATATCAATCAGGTTGCCTATTATATTTTAAAATTTGTGTTATCAATAAACAACCATATTATTTTTAAAAATTTTATACAACAATGAGGAAAATGTGAATATTGAGTGGCTATTTAGTGACATTAAGGAATTATTGTTAATTTTGTCTAAGTACAATAATAATGTGGTAGCATTTCGACTGCTAACCAAAAGGTCAGCAGTTCAAACCCACCAGTGGCTCCAAGGAAGAAAAGATCTGGTAATCTGCTCCCATAAAGATTACATCCTAGGAAATCCTATGGGGCAGTTCTACTCTGTCATATAGGGTCACTATGGGTTGGAATTGACTCAAAGGCACCTAACAACAACAACAACAACATATTTTAGAGCTACATTCTGAAGTTTTTACAGATGAACACACATGATGTCTGAGATCTGCTTAAAAATAATAGGGAGGGGATGGGGTAAGTTAATAGGTGAAACAAGATTGGCTATGTGTTGAAAGTTGGGGCTGGGTAATGGATGCATAGATATTTATGTTATTCCCTTTACTTTTATACATTTTTCTAAAATAATTTTTCTAAATTTTTCTAAAATAGATCCTGGGTTTGTGAATCTTTGCAAATATGCATGGTTGCTCTATTTAACTTTTCTATATAAAAATACTCTTCCTGAGTGAATACTGAGGGGAAAAAAATTAAAGTGAAAATTAAGTGTCTCAGGGATTGAATTATAGAAAACAGCTTTAAACATTTAACAGTAATCGGATCACCCAGAGATATAGGTGTAGAAAATCATAGTTTTTAACCCTCAGTACTCTATTGTTTTGACTGTCATTAAATTTATTCAGTATTATTTTAAATGAAAATTTAAGAATTACGTTTTAAGAAACAAATTTCATTAGAGAAGTATGACTTTTTAAAAAAATCACTTCTTACCAATGGTTCAACTACCTATAACACCTACAGTTACGAGCCTGTTGAGACAGGGCTGATTTCTACAGGAGATTAGGAACTGGATTGAGGGGATTTATACTCTTTTTGGGTACCTGGAAAACTTCTGGATGTGACATCAGATCCTTGACCATACTGATAGCCAGCAGGAGTAGAGTCCATTTCAGCATCAATTTGTGCATGATCTTCAGATTGGGAAATGTGGCTGGAAGAATCAGATGTCCGTGCTTCTCGTTTGCTTGACTTATAATGAGCAACTTCGGAAGGCTGTGACAACCTCAAATGTTTGGACTTTTTGATGGAATCTTTCCTTTGTTCATGCTTGGCCAAAGTTTGTTGAGTATTCCTTTGGGAGGCTGAATGGTAATTATACTTACTCCAAGACTTTCCACTTATAACCCCTGTTCCTTGATCTGGGCTTAGGTGAGAATGTGGAGAACTGCTTTCTTCTTGCCAGCCACCACTATAAAGAGAGGAACGTTCTATGCCATTGGAATTGGCATCTTTATCTGAGAGACTGAAATAGCGATCTTTTTCTTTCTCACTAATGTCTAATGAAGACTTAATGAAAGTCTTACATACACTAATGACATCAGTCATCTGAAGGAAGCTAGCTGCTGACATCACTTCTATGACATTCTGACCAGTAAGAGACAGTTTTCCCGAATAGACAAAGTCCAGAATAACTGTAAAAGTGTCAGGGGAGAAAGCCTGAAATGTAGCTGTGGTTGGCTGACTTGTCTCCTTTGAATTCTGAGAAAGAAGCATTTTAAAGTAGCCACTACTAGCAAATAATACATTCCGATGTGCTTTGAAGACCTTCCCTTCAACTAAAATACTACAATCACAAAATACATCTTGCCTGCGTTGCTCATTCAGTTGTTGCAGGAGGTGAGACTGATGAGAGGAGATCTCCATCCTAAAGAGGAAAAGACACACGTGGTTACCAAAAACTGAACAGCATTACTTTCCTAAGATGAGTCGACTAAAACAACGATTGTTTTCCCATTAAAAGCATTTTCTTCTCGGAGAATAGTCTTTACAGAAGATAACAGGTTTCAATTTTAGAAGATACCATTTAATACTATACCGTCAGTTATTAATGATTTTTAGAAAACTATTTGTTCAGTCAACAAACTTTACTGGGCATCTTCTATAATTCAGGCCCTCTGCTATGGGCTGAACTAAACAGACTTGGTGTCTGTCCTCATGGAGCTTTCAATCTAGAGGGTGTATGAGGCATTAAACAATACTCAGATAAAGTTATAATGACAAGTTAAGTGCTAATCTAAAAAGAGGATGCTATGAATAGTTTAAGGTTCCCTGGCTGGCACAAATGGTTAAGCACTACTAATCCAAAGGTTGGCAGTTTGAACCCACCCAGAGGTGCCTCAGAGGTAAGGCCTGGTGATTTGCTTCCTAAAGGTCACAGCCTTGAAAACCCTATGGAGTGCAGTTCTATTCTGACACACATGGGGTTGCCTTGAGTCAGAACTGACTTGATGGCAATTGGTTATGAATAGTATAAAAGGGTGAACTAGTTTAGATTGGGATGGAAAGAGTTAGGGACTACCTCTCTGAGAAGTGACATTTAAACTGAGACCTCAAAGGTGACCAGGAATTAGCCAGGTGAAGAGTGAGGGGAAAGATCGCTGGTTCCAGCAAAATGCATGTCTAGAAAGTGCTGAATGTTTATACTGTTATGAACACCTAGAGATGCTGGCTAAAATAAACTAAGATTTGTTTGTCTGTTTAAATGTATGGCTAGACTTGCAAGAAAGAATAGGAAGTCCCCAGATGCCCGCAGTTAGGAGGGAGCTGAGCCAGAGAAGAGCACATGAAGGTGGACCAGTGATGGCTAGGGGCTCAAGTTTTCATTACTAACAAACCATGGTCTATGACAGGTGGGAAGGTGGAACCCAGTTACCTGTTGAGACCCTCTAAGGACCGTAACTTTAGTAAAAAGGGACTAGTAAACTTTGCTTGTAAGTCCAGGGAAAACGTAAAGACGTCTTCGCCAGGTTTTTGGGTAGGAAACATCCTAAGTGTAATTTCACATCCAAGGCTATGCTTTGTGAGGTTATGGAATCCAAATTTATATTACCTGCTTGGTGTGAAAAATTAACAAGAATATTCCTCCTGGGTTGGTGGTGCCTCTGGGGTACCTTGCGAATGAGAAATTGCTTGTGAAGGGTGCTTTCAAAACCCAAGCCAGGTAGTGCAATGCCCTTTTCTTTTATGCTGTCTTGACACAGTTTTGAGGCCCGTCTGGAGGCCAGTTTGTTCCCCTTGCTGAGCAGTTGATTAAGTATACTCTCCACCCAATCCCCTTATCACATTCTCACACTCCTGACCAGTATGCACCCATTATAATTGCCTAGAGCCAGCTACCCAACAACTAGGGATAGCCCCTATGTCCCCTGAGCCTGCAGAATTATTCAAAATGCCCAATCCCCAGGAAGTCCGTGAAACCTAGCTAACCCCTGCCTTGCTTGCCATTCATAAGCCCTTTCCTACAATTCCAACTTGTTGTTGCTTTGTCCCCGGGTGCAACCCTGTGTGGCCCTGCATCATGGCATGCTGTGCCTCCCTATCTCTGGGAACTGTGAGTATAATAAGCCTGGTTACTTTTCATGGCCGCCCTGACTCCTCTTCCTCACATCACACCAGACTTACCATCCCATGAATTTGTTAGAGCAGATAAGAAATAACCTCTGCTGAAGATGAATTCAAAATCATTCCCCCTTTATACAAAATGGATTATTTCCAGTATTATGCAAGCATGATGTCTACTATCTCCTATCTTAAAAACAAACAAAAACTTCCCCTTCACACACCTCCACCACAACAACCACAGCCTCCACCAGACTGAGTTCAATACAACTAGATGGTGCCCGGCTACCACTGACTGCTCTGACAGGGATCACAATAGAGGGTCCCAGAGAGAGCTGGAGATAAATGTAGAACAAAATTCTAACTCACAAAAAAAGACCAGCCTTAACTGGTCTGACAGAGACTGGAGAAACCCCAAGAGTATGGCCCCCGGACACCCTTTTAGCTCAGTAATGAAGTCAGTCCTGAGGTTCCCCCTTCAGCCAAAGATTACACAGGTGCATAAAACAAAATGAGACTAAAGGGGCACATCGGGCCAGGGGCAAGGACTAGAAGGCAGGAGGGGACAAGAAAGCTGGTAATGGGGAACTCAAGATCGAGAAGGGACAGTGTTGACATGTCATGGGGCTGGTACCAATGTCACAAAACAGTGTGTGTACTGTTTAATGAGAAGCTAGTTTGTTCTGTAAACCTTCATCTAAAGTACAAATTAAAAACAAAAAAACAAAAAAACTTCCCCTTGATCTCACACTCACCCCTGGCTACTACCCCATTTCTCTGCTCCCTTTACAGAAAATTCATTAAAGGAGTTTTTAAAATATTTGCTGTCTCCATTTCTTCACCTCCCATTCTCTCTTGACCCCATTCCAATCAGGTTTTCATCCCCATCACTCCATCAAAACCATTCTTGTCAAGGTCATCAGTAACTTGTATATTGTCAAATGGTCATTTCTTTGTCCTCATTTTACCAACACGATTGATCACTCTCTTTACCCTAAAACACTTTCACTTGGTCAGCAGGACACCACTCCTGCCCGGTTCTCCTCCTCCCTCACTGGTCACTCCCTCTCAGTCTCCTTTAGTCATTCTCCATTTCCCTCACCTCTAAGTGTTAGAAATTTGAAGAAAATTAGAACAAACCCATGAAAGCCAAAGTACCAACCTTGAGTATCTCCCACCTGAATTTAGAGAACATTTCAAGAATGGATTTGATGCAATGAACACTAATGACCGAAGACCAGATAAGTTGTGGAATGACATCAAGGACATCATACATGGAGAAAGCAAGAGGTCATTAGAAAGACAGGAAAGAAAAGATCAAAATGGATTTCAGAAGAGACTCTGAAACTTGCTCTTGAATGTCGAGTAGCTAAATCAAACAGAAGAAATGATGCAGTAAAAGAGCTGAACAGATTTCAAAGGGCAGCTCAAGAAGACAAAGTAAAGTATTATAACGAAATGTGCAAAGACGTGGAGTTAGAAAACCAAAAGGAGGAACATGCTCAGCATTTCTCAAGCTGAAAGAACTGAAGAAAAAATTCAAGGCTTGAGTTGCAGTATTGAAGGATGACATGGAGAAAATATTAAACGATGCAGGAAGCATCAAAAGAAGATGGAAGGAATACACAGAGTCACTGTACAAAAAAATTGGTTAATGTTCAACCATTTCGGGAGGTAGCATATGATCAAGAACTGATGGTATTGAAGGAAGAGGTCCAAGTTGCACTGAAGGCATTAGGGAAAACATGGTTCTAGGAACAGACGGAATACCAACTGAGATGTTTCAACAAATGGATGCAACGCTGGAAGTGCTCGCTTGTCTATGCCAAGAAATTTGGAAGACAGATACCTGGCCAAGCGACTGGAAGAGGTCCCTATTTATGCCTATTCCAATAGGTGATCTAATCAAATGTGGAAATTATCAAACAATATCACTAATATACACAAGTAAAATTTTGCTGAAGATCATTCGAAAGTGGCTGCAGCAGTACATTAACAGGGAACTGCTAGAAATTCAAACTGGATTCAGAAGAGGACATAGAACCAGGGATATCACTGCTGATGTCAGATGGGTTCTGACTGAAAGCACAGAATGCCAGAAAGATGTTTACCTGTTTTATCGACTATGCAAAGGCATTTGACTGTGTGGATCATAACGAATTATGGATAACACTGCAAAGAATAGGAATTTCAGAACACTTAATTGTGCTCATGAGAAACATGTACATAGATCAAGAGACAGTCATTTGAACACAACAAGGGGATACTGCGTGGTTTAAAGGCAAGAAATGTGTCAGGGTTGTACCCTTTCACCACACTTATTCAATCTGTATGCTAAGCAAATAATCCAAGAAGCTGGACTATATGAAGAAGAATGGAGCATCAGGATTGGAGGAAGGCTCATTAACAACCTGCGATATGCAGACGACACAACCTTGCTTGCTGAAAGTGAAGAGGACTTGAAGTACTCAACTGATGAAGATCAAAGGCTATAGCTTTCAGTATGGATACACCTCAACATAACAAAAATCCTCACAACTGGACCAATAAGCAACATCATGATGAATGCAGAAAAGACTGAAGTTGTCAAGCATTTCATTTTACTTGGATCCACAACCAACACAGAAGCAGCAGCCAAAAAATCAAATGACGCACTGCACTGGGCAACTCTGCTGCAAAAGACCTCTTTAAAATGTTCAAAAGCAAAGATGTCACTTTAAGGACTAAGGTGCGCCTGACCCAAGCCATGGTGTTTTCGATAGCCTCGTATGCATGTGAAAGCTGGGCAATGAATAAGGAAGACTGAAGAAGAATTGATGCCTTTGAGTTATGGTAGTGGTGAAGAATGTTGAATATACCATGGACTGCCAAAAGAACGAACACATCTGTCTTGGAAAAAGTACAGCCAGAATGCTCCTTAGAAGCAAGGATGGCAAAGCTTTGTCTCACATGCTTTGGACATGTTATCAGGAGGGACCAGTCCCTGGAGAAGGACATCATGCTTGGTAAAGTAGAAGGTCAGTGAAAAAGAGGAAGACCCTCAATGAGATGGGCTGACATAGTGGCTGCAACAATGCGTTCAAGCATAAAAACGATTATGAGGATGGCGCAGGACCGGGCAGTGTTTCATTCTGTTGTACATAGGGTCGTTATGAGTCGGAACCAACTCGATGCCACCTAACGACAAGTGTTAGAATGCCCCAGGCCTCAGACCTCTTCTCTACCTATCATTCCTTAGGTGATCTCATCCAATCTGTTTTAAATACCATCTTTGTACTTATGTCTCCCAAATTTACATATCCAGCCCTCAGCCTCATCTCTGAACCTCAAGTCTCATATG